CATTTAATCAATATTTAAGTTGGAACCATTTTAGTCATGACCGAGGAAAACATCTTGATATGTACTAGATAGAGAACCAATTGAATGTTTAACTCAAGTGTGTTGAAATGTCTAGTGTTTGTAGTTTGCTTAAACTGTACTCTTGCACCAAGTGGCACAGGTAGGATAGTGTATGTATGACTCTATTTAAGTTTCTACGATGTCCAACATACAATCAGTGATAGGGTCTTTTTCAAGGTCACTTCTTGAAGCAAAGTATCACGTAATAAAGAAACAGATTTTGTCACTATCCGTTCACCTATGGAATGTTTCTTTGAAAACAGATCAGATCCTTGGTTGACTTTTGCTGTTTTTATGTCTGGCAGTGGCATTCTGTTTTAATAGCATTCTTTAAGCTTTTAAAATATCTTATCACCTCGTTGGTGTTATCAAAATTGACGATCGTAGGAACAGGAAATTCTAGTGATAAAACAATCATGAGCATAAAGAGAACTGCCTTGTAATTATATGTCATGACTCAAAACCAAATCTAATGTTTTAAAACACAATAATCAGGATTATCACTTACAGGCAGGGCCTTGAAGTGAAACAGCTTCGCACCACACTCATGTTATAAGCATACTCGAGACTTCTATTGATCTCAACACAAGTATCCAAATATTTACTCTGCGAGATAAAAGTGGGGTATATCGTCTGTATGAATGTTTCTTTCATCCACAGACTGTGAGTTGGGTGTTATTGTGTGGTGTAATGTTCTGTCATTATGTGTCATTGTCAGTAGCTATATTGCTCACGGAAGCATTGCAATGACAAAAATGAATTACTTTCAACATAATATTTTGGTGTGATTTGCATCACTGAAAAGTTACAAAAAACTCCTTTCAAAGTCTTCTGCTCTCAACATATTTCATTTATTCTTTTAAGTACAAAGCCAAAGTAATTACAAAAATCATCAAAATGGTTAAACATGATTATTTTCCCTTTATTGAAACGCTTGAAAGTCATAAAATATCAAGTTTTCTACTTAAAAAAATTTTGTGGGTCTGTTTAAACAATTTAGAAAAGTAATGAAACAGGCAGAATTTTAATGGATCATTTTCACTATTCATTGAAAATATTCACAAATCCTTGATATCTATTAGTAGACACTTTCTTAGTAAAGAACTGAGCCCGGAGGGATCAAGATCGTTTGCTAAATGTACGAGAGTTACCACCTTCCATAGCTATAGTTATTTTCTTTCTCAGCTGATATTGAAAACTCATATTACTTTTTGTTCAGTGATATTCCTTAACAGTTCTTTGATTTTGTTAAAGACTTATGTTAATTTTTTCCATTTAAGTATATTGATAGCCTTTTCAAGGAAGAATTCCTGATTCTGTATTAGAGATTTCAGAAATGTTGCTGTTGTGTCTTTATCGAAAGAAAAAATAATTGACTTAAAATGTTTTATAGCTTTCTATCATAGAAGTTAGAAAAAAAATAGTAAAATTTTAGATGTATAGTGTGATTAAAAGGGATAAGATAAAGTTTTAATTGATAATGAAACCTCACAGTCTTTAATAATGTAGCAATATTTGAAGGATGTTGTCAGAGAGGACTCACTAAAATGAGTTGTTTTGTGTTAGATGATAGAAAGTTCTTATATAAGACAATCACAGGATAATGATATATATTTCTTAGTTTGTATGATCACAGTGATGCCACAGCTGGGACTTTGGTTGAAATTGGTTGACAAACCAATACAATTTTACACTTTATAAACAGTTATAATATGTTACCTATTTCACTGGTATGCAAGAACATTTGGTTTGGTCATTTCATTGTATCTCTACAGACGGAACAATAATATGGACTGTGTTTTTGGCCTGTTGGTATATTTGGTATTGACTAGTATTGAGAAACTTTACTTTCACCTTAGCCGCACCTTTTACCTGCTAGGTGTCTGCTATGTTGGTCATGCGGTGTGTCAGTATTGACTTCCCCAGGAACACGTTTGAGTGGAAATTCACAGAAGTCACGTTCACATATATTTTTCAGCATGGTTGGTTATGCTGAATCAAAGTTGATTACCACATTTGGAAAAGCCATGATTGATTGATAACCAATTATATGTGATAATCAGCCCATCAGTCATCAGTCCATGTGTTGTTTTGTCAAAGATGTATGTGTACTCTTTAAGCTGTAATTTTGTATCTTTGAAATTGGGATGATAGAGTGTCGCATATGAAACAGAGGGTTCTATACTTCATTATAAACAGAGTTATGTCCCTTTGTTGATTTTTCTTGTAGACATGTTTACTTTGTTTCAAAAAGGGTTAAGTATCATACATATGGAACAGAGTTATGTCCCTTTGTTGATTTTTCTTGTAGACATGTTTACTTTGTTTCAAAAAGGGTTAAGTATCATACATATGGAACAGAGGTTTCTGTACTTCATTGTAAACAGAGTAATGGCCCTTTGTTCAATTTTCTTGGTGACAAGTTTACTGTATTTCATATGGTTACATCTTATGAATGTTCACTTACATCTGTGCAGACATTTTCTCAGGTTTTTGTGGTGTTTTGGCTAAAGATATATCTGGCCGAGAACCCTTGAGATGTTACTAGCACTGTATATCTTTGGTGATTTATTGTTGTTGGCCGAGTATCAGAGGAGGAGGCACAGATAGCTAGCTATGAACCTGCTCTTTTGATGTAGGTGTTTGCTACAGACTGGATTCATTGACAGTCTATCACTAAGTCCATTGAGTGGTTCAGTTCTTCAGCTGGTAAAGCTATTAGAACTATTGACTATAGTGTCTAGAGTGGAAATGAGGTCCAGGTGTAGGTAACACTTTCTTAGGTTAGAAAATAAAATCAATAAAATGTTGGAAGGCCCACATTATATAAATCAGATTATGGCTGTTACTTGTAAGAACAATATGTCTTTATGAATATCTGTCATTAATTTCTCAGAAATGTCAATATGTTTCAGAACCTGCATGTACTAGTGTGTGGGAGGATGGAATCAGAACTAAAGCTAATAACCGCTTTGTGATTTTTCATTATAAGAGTGATGACTGATTTTAAGCTCGGAGAGCCTATATCAATTAACACGTTATTTTTACATTATGTAATACACTTTTGATATTAAAATGTCTGAAATTTTCTGTTAAAAGATCATTTGCATTTCCTTTACAAGAGTTATCTCCCTTATGTAATAAAGCACTTTTCAATGAGATTGAATGACTGCAGTCTATTTTTGTCTGCTCTGAATCATACGATTTTGTAAACAATAACAGAAATATCACCAGGATGTTTGAAAAATTGACTGAATTGGTGTTAGAGATGAATTATAGAGTGATAATGATGGAAGTAAAGAATTACATTTTTAGGTCACCTGAGACAAAGTCTCATGGTAACCTATTCTAATACCATTCATCTGGCGCCGTGTGTCCAAGAACAATTTAACGCTTTCAACTTCTCAAATACCCCTGATCCAATTTCAATGAAATTTTGCAGAAACCTTCCCTGGCCTAAGATGAACCAAAATTGTGAATTATTCAATCCCAACCCCACACCTCAACCCCAACCCCCAAGGGCCTGAGGGTTGGGGCCAAAAGTGCTCAAGTTGACTTAGATTTCAAAAATCTTCTTCTCAAGACCCACATATGGTAGAATCAAATACTCTTCATGAATTGGAGCATCTTAAGGTCCTTTACCAAAATTGCAAATTTCATGGCCCCAGGGTCTCGCATATCCCTGTTGGGAGGGGGTAAAGTTTACTATAGTTTATATAGGAAAACTAGAGTTTTGAGCATAACTTGCTTAATTTCCATTGGAAATATTTCAAACTTGGTTAGAATTATGAGTGAAGGATGGCGGCCTGATGGAATGCCCATTTTGATCCTGACTGACCCCCAGGGGCTGATTGGCGGGGCCAAAAGGGCTCATATTGACTTGAAATTTCAAAAATCTTCTTCTGAAGACCCACATATGATAGAATCAAATACTCTTCTTGATTGGAAGCATTTTAAGGTGCTTTAATTACCTTAATGAGTCTCACATTTCCTCCAGGGGAGGAATTTTTTTTTTAGACTTTACTGTAATGTTCATAGAAAAATAGTATTTTTGAGCATACTATTGGTTATTTCCCACTAGAATTATCAGTATAGGATGACACTGCCTTCCTATATTTAGTGTCATGACACTTGATAACTATTCTTTAATCTTCATTTTCAATATTGCTTATCTCAGGTGACCATTAAGGCTGCTAGGCCTCTTGTATATGGGAGTATGAAAAATGTCCCTGTCATTGTAGGACCTGTGTCACAATCAGGAATTTTCTCTGATCATATTCAAATATGATAAAACTTATTGGGTACTTCTGAATACCTGGTACCAGACTGAAACAAGTAGGACAATCAATCTTTTTGTTTTCTTGTAACAGGAAAATCACAAATCATATAATGTCAACTGAGTTTGTCTTTTCTTTCAAGATTCATAATTTTTTAAATATGTTTTGCAATTTCAAAACTAAATCTTTTTTCTTTTAACAAATTTTCCTTTATTTGGTTTTCATTTTGAATTTTGTCGGTTTCGGTAACATATTCTCGAGGGTAGTCATCAGCATCTCTTAAGGATTTATATAAAATGATTAGTGCTGTGAATTGTAGCTACACATCTGTGTCATTGAATCATGAATGTAGAATTCTAAAGATTCAATATAGGAGAAGGATGGTTTGATAACTAAGATGGAGTTATCATGCTCACAAAGTCAGATATCATTAATAAAGAGGACATTCCCTAGGTGCTTCAGACATTTTATTATGCAGAAACAGAATGCATTCTGCTTCATAGATGATGTGAATAGTTTGACTTTTAAATATCAGATGATTCATGCTGTTTCTTAACATGTCTCAAATTTTCAAAAATAAATAGTAGCTTCCAGATTAAAAATAGGTCTGTTTTTCTGTAATTGGTTGAAGATAATTGATCATATTCATTTTTTATTTTTCAGGTGAGAGAAATCTTGAACTTTGCTCTCCTGACTGAACGTAAACAGGTTTATCCCCTAAGAGTGTACAGCGTAAAAGAATCCGATGACCTGACGGACATCTCCGAGGAAACCGCTTGTCATTCAGCTGAGGAAGATGTCCTCAAGGTAGGTGGTGATGAAACCTTTCTATCTTTATACTGGGATGTTATAAATCTTGGCAAAAAGAAACAACTTCCTTTTCCACAAACATGTTTCAGGCCTTGTGTATGTTTGTGAAGGAGTTGGTAGGGGAGCAGAATTTTGAAGGAGTTAGATTGTAGATTTAGGCTGACATTTGAAAATTAGACATTTTCACTAACATTTAAAAAAGATTTGTGTGTTTGTGGGAGAGGAATTGCATAAATTAAAAATTTATAATAACTGCTTGAAAATCAAGTCTTTTTACCATTCATTTTTTAAAAAAAGCTTACATTTAAGTGATTATTAAAGATTTAGATGAGTGGAAAATTTACATTCTAAGTATTTGTGGAAACCACTTACATTCGTGTTGAATCAGAAAGAGGATTGCTTAAAGTATGAGATCCTGATTTAAGGCAATCTGAAGAGCCTTACAATCAAATGAACATTGGGAAAACTATTACATATGCACAGTCTGCCTAGCTACACAAATAGGTATCAGCATATCATGAATCATGCAGAAGTATTGCATTTTCAGTGAACTAAATATTGACTCTGGAAGCCTTGAAGTGTATTGGAAGTCAGGTTCAGTCCCAGTCTTTGTTGAAAACTAGGATTAGATTGAAGTTGGTCTTAATATAGTCTATATGAGTGACTTTTGTTAATTTTCTTTCATAAGAAGTCTTTAAAAAAGAAACCTTGTTAGTGAAATAAAACTTCAAATGAGGGCCAAAATTTTTTTTTCTTGTATGCATTGTGTGCTCATGATTGTGAATTTGAAAAATGTTTCATAACTGGGATCTACGTTTCAGATGACAGCTGAGAGTTTCATCAAGTTAGTATGGTCTGGCTTATCATCTCTCCTACCAGACAAAGTTTAATGCTATCTGATGGGGAAGGAAAAAAGTATATAAACAAATATTACGTGAAGATGTACAGAGCTTAATAGTTCTGAAAACAGAGCGTCTGAACAAACAGCCCATCAAGCACGGCTGTGAAACGACCACATACAAAAACACTTGTTTGATATTGATGAAAAGATAAAAAGATTCTGTCCCCGCTCAGACTTCTGTGTCTGTATCGCTCCTCTGTAATATGTAACGAAACATTACAATGATGTCAGGAAGGCTAAACCTGTATTACCTGTAGTCTGGCTTAAATTTGGCGAGATCAATCGACAGACCATTCCATGATTCACCTGTAGGTGAGTTAGGTTCAGGGTTGTATAACTGTTGATAGGTAACCCTGTGATCCTCTCTTCCTTTAATGCTGAGGGAAAATGTTCATGTCTTCTCCGGAAGATGAGCCAGTTGTTTCTGTCATTAGAAACTCAAGAGCGTCGATTGGTGGTTGCTTTCTTTTTGAAGTTAAGACTTGGGATGGATACGTAATTGAAATGTTGTCCTATGTGGTAAAATGACAGGTTAAGAGATTTCAAAAGCGAGAGATAGAGGTAGATTTTTTAAAAAAGAAGTTCAGTGGGTTTTTGTTAAAATTCTGTAGATAGTTTGTGGTTTCTGGTGAAATGTTTTTTTTTCAAACTCTCTTAAACAAAAGTTTTAGCCATTATCTGATGGTGGGCTATTCAAATCGCCCTATGTCTGTGGTCCGTGGTCTGTCCTTCAATCGTCCGCCCATAAACAATTTTTGTTATCGATATTTCTGGAGAAGCACAGGATGGCTCTTTTGCAAATTTCATATGTAGGTTCCTCTTGGTCCTAAGTTGTGCCCATTTGATTTTGGGTCTGATCAGGAAAACAAAATGACCAACAGACAGTATGAGTGATGTAGTGACTTATTTGACAACCACAAAATTTGAATATCATGAAAATGTGTGACTTTACAGTAACCAGCAAAACTGAATCTGAAGTAAAGTATTTGTTGTTGGTGTAGATGCTTTGCTTTGTAATTATATAGCATGTCATTTAAATCAATTGATTTAAAGCTTTTTGTATTTAAAAAAAATAGATTTTGTAATTAATTAAAAATTGTTAATGTGATGAATTATTATTCAATTGAATTAACCAAACATAATTGATGAGAAAATTGAGGCTTTCAAAAAACATGTATTTCAAGGATTTTTCTGTTTAATGAATTTGGAGATTAGTCAAATGATAAGAGAGTTTTCCAAGAAAAATGACCTTGAATATTTCCAATTTTGGGATGCCATTGTCCAAATCATTTTCAGACACAAATGATTCTTTTTCTGCCTTTTTAAGCGAAATTGAAACCTAAGTGACTGTGGAATTAAAAACAGAAAACAGAGTTATTTTTTATAATATTGTAATAAAAGTTCTGTTATAATTATAAGATTACGAAGAAGTCTGTTTCATGGAATTTCAAATATGCTTGCTGTGTGTGTTTTACTTTATATTGCTGATAATCTGTGTCTAGTATTGTTTCCATGGTTTTTTCCATTAATTGCTTTATTTCATGAAAGATAAAATCAATTTTTTTGGATGTGTCTTAAAATGTATTAACAAAGGGGAAATATATAAATATTTCTTGAGAAATACATTTAGAGAACAGGTATAGTTGGTAGCTCTGCCTTGTAGAGTGATATCAGTGTGACTAGGGACAGTCTTTAAGATTATCTGAGGCGACCATCTCCTACTGTAACTGTGCCCCATATAGACTGCTCGATCAATATACACTCTAGATTTAGATCACAGGGATTGAATATTTTATCACCACTCTGACGTGAATCCCAGTTTTTTTTAGTACCAGTGCGTCAGAAATGTTTTTATTGCATTTGTTTACAAGATTTTTGCATCATCGCTTTTTCTTGTCATCAAGAAAAAAATTGGAAAGTTCTGATCGGTCATCAAGTTGTAGCTGAAAGTGTCTTTATACTTTAAGTTTTCTTTTCAATCTTCCCTTCTTCCATTTCTCCTTCTTTCTTTTATTTGTAACTTACTTTCTTTTTAATCATTTCTTTCTAAGTGAATATGGAAAGGAAATGGCACTCTCTTGGAACTTCTTCATACAGCTATTTTAAACATAATACATTACTGTTGCTGTTGCCAGGTTTTCTGTTTCTATCAAATTCCTGGGTCTTAGCTTTATGTTACATGTTCCCCAGTGTCTTGAGCACTTTCCCTAGTGACTTTTCATGTGTCCTCACGAAGTTTGATTCGAAAAGCATTGTTTCTGCCTTCAACAGCATGAAAAGAGAGCAACTACATTGATGCTGGATACTTGTGCAGGGAGAAAGAAGACACATTATGTAGTGTTCTATGAATTGTCTATACCTTTACTGATATTTGTTTAAATTTCTCATCCAAGCTCCACCAATGATAATTACACAGTTAACTCACTGGTGTTGGAATTATGTGAAATTTCTGTAAAGCTAATTGTGAAATTTTAAACTCGGAATTATACTAAGTGCTTAAAGATGTTTTTGTCATAAATTGTTTCAGTATAAAAAACAAATAAAATTCTCCAAGCTTTATAGAGATTGTAATCCTTAAACAAACGTGTTCTGTATATCAATGAACTGTTTTTTTCAATTTATTTGCTTCACTGAGTCTTATCATACACATTTAAGCTTAAGTGGTTTCTTTGTTATTTTTTCCCTCGAAACCTTATCAAAGATTCAATTTAAGATTTGTGATATATGCTTGTACATGTATCCCACTTAACTTATCACAGAATCTTATCCTCCGATGTGCATAATTTTTATGCCCTCTTCAAGTTATCCTAGTGGAGAATGGAATCGCATATCTAACAGGTATTCCGTCTTTCTTTTCAAATAGATCATCCATTCATGGATGCCTCTTACACTTTGTGGGAATTTCTATTAATAATAGTTCTACAGCATTTGAAATGGTAATTGTGCAGATTACATTTTCTAGAGTACAATGGCTCTCTGCCTATAGATATTACATGAAATCACTGTAACCTGCTAAGGTGTGTTAGATCTGTAAGCAACATTTTGATTTTGACATGATGATTCTAGATGTTGTGCCCCCCACCCCTTGTCCACCGTCATGCAATAATTAATTTTGTATTGTGACCAAAATGAGATTTAACTGCCATTCCTCTAAAACTGCTCAAAGGATGTTCGTGAATGTGTCCAGTAAGGGTTTCAATTTTACATGCCACATTTTAAAATCAATCCGATACTCCAGATGGCTACCAGTTTCAAATGCAATCACTAGCTCTCTTGAATTTTCTTGTCTGTTTCACTTTGGTCTTTGTGTTTAGCAATATTACTGTCATGGAGTGTGTACCTAATACAGAACTAGGCAGGCATTGACAAAGAGTGGGTGACATAAATGAAAGACAAAAAGATATATTCCAGTATGCCAGCTGTAATTTTATGATGGTGTTTACTCCCATTTGTCAAAACAAATAAATAGAATGTTGACCTAAAAAAGTATGTGAGCTTCTGTGGATGGCATATAAAACAGAAACATACTTCTTTGACTGGGTTGTTACAGCAACTTGGCTGGACTGTTCATTATAATCATAACTTATTTATCTTCCAATAAACCCATGCCTGGTAATAAGCCCACCCATATATTGCTTTTAATAGCTTTTCCAACAAAAACTGTTTCATTGTCCTTCTATATTTTGAGCCCCACTGTCATTGTGTCAATGACTTTAAGCCTGAGGTAATGTATTTGGCTTATTTCAGGACAAATATAGTGAGTAGAAGGTAATATTATTGATGCTGAGGGGTATTAATACCCCAATTACCCTGCCTAAAATCTTCTTTCTTTCTTTTTTTTTTATATCTGCATTCTTTCCTAACAAACAGATATTTTTCATTCCTCTAAAACTTGTTTAGCACTTGCTTTCATTTTCTCTACTTTTCTGTTTAATTTAATTTTTTCAGCCTTTTTTTAAACATTCCAGAGAGGTTAATGTAATTTTAATAGTTCACTAAAAAAACTGTTCTTCAGAATGATAAGAATGAAGGCTATCCGAATGATTGTGTTTTGAAGCGAGGGGAATGTAGATCACATCTTGTAATTGTGAAATGA